TAAAATAGGTCCAAAACTGAAGACCCAGCAACTGACATTTGAGAGTAAGGAAACAGGCCTTTTTGCACCTAACTGCAGGTTCTCTCACTTTTTCCTATGTCCAAGAGTCCAATCAAGCATGTATACCACAAAATCTCTTGGTGCAGAAATCTGCTTATGGTAATTAGGGGCTGGGTATTAATAATGCAAAAAGTTTAATAAAAGCTGTGGGAATAAGGAAGCTCAGGGCTTGAGCACAAACTCTCTCTTCTCCCTAATTAAGTATCTTCTCTTTTCACGTTCAAGCCTTTACTTCACTTCTAACTTGCTCTGCTTACGAATTATCCAGACTTCACCTTGCACCGAAGTCCCACAGGCAGAGGGAGGCTGGTTTCTTTGGCACACAGTCTTCTGTTAGAAGGGTATGTGAGGATGGTATTATATTAGGTAACTATCTGTATAATTAGATAACTACAATTTGTATAACCAAATTTTTTTAATGCTATCCTCAGAATCGACCTGTGAGATCAGTGCTGTATGATCTGGTTTGTTTTATTTGCCATCTGAATATCTGTCATAATGTACATAGTTTTAATTCAGTCCTCATTGTGAGTGCGGCTTCTGCTGTGGGCTCCCAGATCCACCTCAAGCTGAGAATTATGAAGCTCTATGTTTGGAGCAAAATACAGGACAATGTAGCACTTTAAAGACTAACAAGATGGTTTATTAGATGATGAGCTTTCGTGGGCCAGACCCACTTCCTCAGATCAGATTTTGATTTGAGGAAGTGGGTCTGGCTCACGAAAGCTCATCACCTAATAAACCATCTTGTTAGTCTTTAAAGTGCTACATTGTCCTGTATTTTGCTCCAAACATAGAGCTTCATAATTCTCAGCTTTTGTGACCTGGGGAAGGAGGACAAAACCTAGAACCTTCTAGTCAGATTGGTGAGCCACGCCCACATGAATTCTATTATACTTCCCTCTCAGGCAACACCATTTCAACATCTGCAGTCTGGCCATGAATATATCGATTGACTCTTTCACAGGCAAATAATATTCCTAAAAGCACCTTCTCAATCTGTGCAGATTTTGTTTTTCAGTCAGTGATTTGGATTTGACACTGGTTGTCAGTCCTCATGTTTCTGTAAAATCACTGCACCTAACCCAGACGGTGAAGCATCTGCTGAAATTTTAATAGGAACCTGACTGCTGCACAGAACTTCAATGCTAACTTTTGCATCAGTTGTTATTCCAAGCCTTCCCAGATTCCTCTTGTTCTGTACCCCAGTACCATGTTTGGTTTTCCAGGAGTTTCCTCAAAACCGCTGCTTTTGTAGATAGATTAGGTATGAGTTTTCCAGGATAACTAATAATTCCCAGGAATTGTTGGACATCTTTCTTTGACTGCAGAGGTAGCATCTTTTCAATGGCTGAAAACTTATTTGGTTTTACACCTTCACTGAAAAAAAATATCTACAACAAGAAATCTCCTCTGTAACCTCTAACACACATTTCTGCCTATTAATTTCAAGTTAGCTGCTCTTGTTGCAACCAAGACTTCCTGGAATCTGTAACCATGATCATCTTTAATTAAGTCCCTGATGATGATGCTATCCATTGAGGTGTCGACCTCATTAATAAATTCACGAATCATATGTATGGTTTTGTGGTACACTTCTGGCACCAAAGCTATGATCAAGGGTATGAGGAAGAATCTGTATCTTTCTCATAGGGAATTAAATGCATATAGCTTTGAGCTTTCTTTGGTTAATTTTAGCTGCTAAAGTTGTGAGGATGCATCCAATGCACTGAAATATCATGGACTTAAAAATGGAAGCATCGTCTTTTCTCTGGATGTAGTTTGAAATGTTCTCTTTTCATACCTTTAATGAAGTCTATAGGATTTAAGCAAATGTGCAGCTTACCATTATTTTTCTCCACAACAAGAAAAATAATAGCCAAGTGCACGTGCTCAACCCATTTCATTGGCACCTCAATTTTTTCTATTCCTTGCATTGTTCCCATCCTTGTAAGCTCAGCACTGAGTATATCAAAAGGCACTTTCCATATGGATGGAAAACTGGAGGGACCTGCTTGTTTCTCTAGACTGAGTGTTCAACCTAACAACAATCCAACCCTTGAAACAGATCATGATATTCCCAAATTAGCACCTAATAGATTCAGTATGATCCTGCAGTAAGAGTTGGCTCACAGCACCTCTTTGTAAAACTGCTCAATCAAGTTGTCATCACTATACCATAGTTTGAGTTTTTCACAAGCAAGCAAAGCCTAAAATTGGCATACCTTCTTGGGGACTAGAACAAATGGGAACCCGTATATGGGGATTTTATGGTTGATAGTGGTCTATTTCTTAGCACACTACAAAGGCAGGTTTCCCCAATTTGGATATTCACACCTCCACAACAAATGCTGTCAACAAGCCACTTCCACGCTTACTTGATTAGCCTCATAAACACAAGCAACTTTTTCTTTATTTATACATCTGTTACTTCCACTCTATTACATCTGATAAAGTGGGTTTTTCCCCCCCATGAAAGCTTATTCCCTAATAAATCTATTAGTTTCTAAGTGCATGTCTACACTAGGAAATTATTTCGAAATAACTAAATTTGAAATAACTTCAGAAATAACTACTTCAAATACGCTTATTTCCTGAGGAAAGCAGGAGTACAGATTTTGAAATAATGGGTTTGGTAATGTGGATGCTCTTCTGACTATTTCAAAGTAAGGGGGTTATTTCAAAATAAATCCCTAGCGTAAACCAGCGCTAAGGTGCCACAGGACTTCTTGTTGTTTTTGCAGATACAGACTCACATGACCACCGAAAGGACTTTCGAAATAAAGAGTTACTTTTATTTTTGTTGATCCCAGTTTTAGTCTTATTTTCAGTCTCAATCCTGTTCTGATAGAATATTACCCTGAGCACCTGTGCCCAGTTTGAGTGGAATAATTATTACATTTGCTTTCACAGGTGATGTGCAGTTCCTTTCCTCAGGTCTGCTGGATCTCAGTATCTCTTTATAAAATTGCTCAACCAAGTTGTCATCAACTGAACGCACTTGACTTTTCTGCATTTGGGATCTACAACATTTTGCAAAATGAATATTTCTCCCACATTTATGACAGTGTTTCCCAAAGGCAATACAGTACACTGTTTGGCACCATGTTGTGATCCACACCTTCCTCTTAATTTTCTGTTCCCAGCCTTTTCCCAGCAGTGATTTTCACAGTGAGTAGGCTCCACTTTTTGAGTTGATCTTTTCTGGCTACATTCTTTACTTAGTTTGTAGATAACCTTTACTTATGAATTAGGCTCTTTGGTTTGCATTTTCATAGTTCCTGCTACCCTGCATATCTAGAGAGTTTTTTCTAAAATTAAAGCTCTTTCACAGAGCAATGCCTATCTCTAACCAAAATCTTTGTCAGCTTTCCGAAGTCACAGGTCTGATTCAAGTTACCTTAATTCTATGACATATTGCTCTATGACAGCAGTTCTTAAACTCTAGGTGGGGACCCCAAATGGGTCTCAACCCCATTTCAATGGGCTCGCCAGGGCTGGCTGAGACTTGCTAGATCCCAGAGCTGAAGAAGTCTAAGTCTGAGCCCCACCATCCAGGGCCAAAGCTTAAGGACTTCAGCCCTAGGCAGGGGGCTCTTAGACCTCGGGCTACCCTCCTGAGGACATGTAGTAATTTTTGTTGTCAAAAGAGTCACAGTGCAATGCAGTTTGATATTCCCAGGTTTTGAGCATGCATTTAAAAATGCATGCGCCTCAAAGATCTCATTCCTTTCCTTTCCTCACATGTAGTCAAAAGTTTCATCTCATGGTTTCCTCTTTTTCAATGCATCCACACCAACACCATCAAAAAGATTGATGATTTCACTCCATAATTTTTTCTCCTTTGCCTCTGTGTCAAAGTTTTTTGCAATTCTCCGCACCTTACCTGACAACTGCAGACCGGATGGAGGCTGCAACACATCCATTTCTGGCCTTCTTCCCTTCTTAGGATAGTCAAGCTACTGTTGTGCTCATAAAATACGTAAAAGAGCCTTTGCTATTCTCTGTTTGCTGCTCCACATGCTCCCCTTTGCTTTTCAAAGGCAGGCGTAAACCTCAAATTTACTAGTCTCCTTCCCATAAGGCACTTTTGACAGCATAATAATCATCCTGGGGCTCCCGTTAAACAACAACCCATTGAATGAGACGTGACTAAATCCTTCATGAAAAACAAACCAGGGAGCTTTTTTTGGTGGACTGCTGTGAACAGCTACATTGTGTTCTCCACCCCTGCTCCCTGGGCATGTCTCCAAATTCCTATATTCATAACACTGACCCTTTTGACGGAGCTTCTCTAAACTATAATCGAGAGCAAACAGCTTTACAACTGCCATATTTACGTCCTTACACTCCTTAAAACCTTTAGCAAGAGGGCACCACAGTAAAATGACAGAAAACCAGGATAGATGGAGGCAGCACAAACCACTGCAGTGCATGTTACCAGGCATTACCCAGTAACTAACTGATAATGGGGCATTTTCTCTTCTCTGACTTGATACCATAGGATAAGAGAATGAAAATCCAAGAGATACTGTAGAAAACAGAGCACCTGTCAATCCCACTCTTAATTCAGGTAACAGAAGGCATGGAAAATGAAGGCAGCTATCTATTGACCTGCAGATGAAGTTAGAGAACGCAAAAAGGATAAGAAATACAATAGTAATGACAACCTTCAGTGTACAGAACAAAAGTCTCATTTTATTAAGTGCTGCTGTTAGGGGAGACAAGCCATGCTGTAAATTGTATTGAAAAATGCATTCTTCTGCTCACAAAACCTAATTCCCACTTCCTCTGCCCATAGCACTCAATTTAGAATATGAGAATTCATGAAAATAGGACAAGTTAAAACAGAAGAGGGACCTAGCATATATTGCTATTTATAATGCCTACTATATTTTCACAATATTAACAAAAAGTCATTTTCATACGCAATAACATACCCAGAATAGAAGGCAGCCATAGGCATACATGTCAGAGGATGAAGATGCCAGATGTCCCATTCTTAATTCAGGGGAAATTAAGTTCAAGCTACCCACTGTCATAGTGTTTGCAGAGGTACGTTGCTCCTGGAAGGGACAACATTACTATCAGCAATTTGAACGCAAACCGGTAGTACAGTAAGTATTCTTGCCCATTCCCCACAGTCTCACAAGAACACCTTTTCCTTCCTCTTCCTTCAATGCTTGCCCAAGCAGGGGATTGTAAAGGCCTCCTACCATCAGGAATGGGACAGAAAATAAAGATAATGAGGCATCACTCTTTAAATACAGGACTAGCTCGTTCCTGCTCTCACTCATGAAAAAATAACAATTCTAGTACCAAAAACTACACATGACAAGAAAACACCCCAACTCCAGTACTACAAGAAATACAGACTAAGAAGTTATGCTAATATAAAGAATACAGGACTATGTAGCACTTTAAAGACTAACAAGATGGTTTATTAGATGATGAGCTTTCGTGGGCCAGACCCACTTCCTCAGATCTTTTTTTAATTGTATCCTTTGGTATATATGGTTGTGACTATTTTCTTCCACTATTTGATCTGAGGAAGTGGGTCTGGCCCACGAAAGCTCATCATCTAATAAACCATCTTGTTAGTCTTTAAAGTGCTACATAGTCCTGTATTTCATTTCAGCAACACCAGACTAACATGGCTACATTTCTATCACTATGCTAATATAAAGGAAATTCAAGAAGCTACTATTCTGTTTCTCTAAAAGCCATTCTAAAATAGACAGAACTCTGAAAGCAATATATCAACTCTAGAACATCCTACAAAGTAGGGATGTAAAAAAATGGTTTAAAATATAACCGTTTAACCATTAAACAACATGGTTTCATGCACTGTGGGCTCTCTGGCCCTGCTTTTGGGGAGCCATGTGCTGCCCTGCATTGCGGGCTCTGATAAAGAGCCTGCAGCACAGGGCAGCAGCCAGATCCCCAGGAGCAGGACCAGCCAATGAATATATAAATGCTTTATACTGCAGTATGCAGGGTGGGGCTGCAGCCAGTTCGCTGGGAGAGGGGCTGGGAGCCAGCATCTAACCATAATGGAAACTGATAAACCGATGCTTGTCGGTTAACCGTTTAAATGGTTACACTCTTACATCCCTGCCAGATGAATAGGCTAAGGGACACGGGACCCACTTATCAAAAGTCTTATCTGAAGAAATTTGAAGAGGCGTGCAATGACAGCCCAGAGCAGGGGGGGGGGGGAGGGAGGAGGGTGTCTTATAAAAGCACTGAACTCGGAATCTACAGAATTAGCTTCTGATCTCAGTTCTGTCAGGCTTCCTGCTTTTTCTGTCTCTGACTCAGGTCCCCATCTGAGTCAGCTACATCCCTTCTCCTCCTGCTGGCTGCCTGGACTTGAGAATTACCTAGAGCTGAGCAGAGACACTTTCTGCTCTCAGTTCTCATGCCCAGAACAGTAACACTCCATGGCTTCTGTAGCCAAGCTGTAATATTTTAGTACTGGTATAAGAATAAAAGTATGACGTATAATGACTGGCTCATAAGTTCTGTATATGTCTATTTCACCCTTTTCTTATGATTAAATAATGTTTGAGGTAAGGTCTTGCTTCCTGTTAGCTTTACAAATTAAGTTGTACCACAAGTCTGCACTGTAAATTAAACTGTGTCTTCTAGTAACTATGTAATCCTTATCTGGAATACTCTGTAAATTGTTTGGCGTGAGTGGAAGACCTGTGTAAGTGTGAAAGCCATCACAGATGCCCAGATGGTCAAGAAGTGGGAACCTTGAAGATAACCAGGAAACAGCCATTGTGTCTGAGGCTGAATTGAATTAGTAGCGTTGATGAACCCTGGAGACATGGAGACACACCCAAGACTGAGAAACATCTGTGAGAAGCCTGACAATAACCATCAAAGGTAACTGTGGAAAACATGAGATTAACACCACTTAAGGATGAATGAATCTGCAGGATGTAAGCTTCAGGGGGTAGCCGAATTAGTCTGTACAGAAAAAAAACAACAACAAATCATCTGGTAGCACTTTATAGACTAACAAAACATGTATCATCTACAAGTTTTGTTAGTCTATATAAAGTGCTACCAGACCATTTGTTGTTTTTTTTCCTGCAGGATACGTGTGTGTGCACGCATATACTCTTTTCATTTTGTATTTTCAATAAACATGGCATATTGCCTTTTCCACTCGAAAAGATCCTGTGTGCTGCTTAGAAGCATAACTCTGCCAGGAGCAACTGCAGAGAAAATTCTGCCCAGCCCCTGCAGACACAATCTTCAGAGAATTTAGCTGCCACTGTTGGAGACTGGACTAGACAGACATAGACAATGCTGACCCAATACAACAGTACCCATGTTCTTTTTTTAACTGCTTTGCTGAACCAGTGCCATACAGGTGATAGAAATACTGATGGAATAAGCACTAACACTATTTTGGAATTGTTCAGAATCATTGCATACACTGTGCTTTCACATTTGATGCAGAGATTGAGTCTCCCTCGTCTGGCATCCTCAAGACCTGACCAGTCCTGACCCAGGGAATTTGGCAGATCAGGGGAGAGCAATACCAACTTCTCCACTTCCAGCCGCTGACTGGCTCTGCTCCCAACTGTCGCGCCCAGGACTCTGCTGCTCCAAGCCCCGGGGCCGCAAGAGTCTGCTGCTCTGCCTGCCAGTCCCCAAGTCACTGGGTCTCCCCTGCTCCAGCCCCAGCCCCCAAGTGCCATTTTTCCTTTATCAGGCAATGGTCCTGGCCTCAGCCTCCCAGTTTTTCCCCCGTTAGTATTCCAGGCCTGCAGCACCCATGGAGTCAACTGCTGGATCAGAGTATTGCCAGACTGGGGAATCCAGATTATACTCAAAATGAAGTATTCACAATACACTGGCAAATGAAGAATTTGTCAATAAAACCTACTTTTCTTTTTTCACAATAAAGGGGGACCAAAAAACAGCGAAGGCATTTACAAAGTAGTGCACTATGAAGAATTCTGAGTGAGATGTAAGGAAATCCTTGAATATACTTGAAAATGTTTTGTTACTCTTACCACTGATTTGGTGAAGTCAAAATCTCCAACAATTCCTCGTTCTCGATTCAAAGCAAACACATTATTTGTATGCAGAGACCCATGAACTATATTAGCTTTGTGTAGCGTATGCAGACCACCTGCTACTCCTTTCATTACTTTCAAAATTTCCTGATGAAAACAAACAATTTTAAAAATTGAAGAAGTCAAGTAAAAAAAACTCAGCATGCTTCCAGTCCAGAACCACAGCAAGTATTCTGAATGGGAAAATACACAACACACTTGGTAAGATTCTAGTGAGTTGTGCAGCCAGTTAAAAAAATAATCCAGTCACACCTGGATAAATCATTTTGAAAAAACAATGTAATTACCTATTGGGATATATGTGGATTCATAACTAGTGCCTGATGAGCAATTCAAGAGGAAAAAAGCTACACACAAACTCATGATCATTTATTTAGAAGGCTCTAAGACCAAATGGCTTGTTTACAGTTGAAAATCATTTTGGAGAAGGAAAGGTAGAAAATAAAATGACAGGCTGAGAACTCAGACAAGAGTAATCATGTCCATAGTATTTTAAAATTTGCTTACCAATATTTTTAAAGGAGAGCAACCAACAAAACAAATTCCGGTAATGTTCGAAAGAGCATAAGTAAATTAGGTCCGCACCTCCTGAGTCCTTTGAAAATGCCAACCCATGACTGGACACAGGGCCATCTCTAGCAGTTTGGGTGCACTATGTAGCCCAATCATCTGCAAACCTCCATGGGGGAGCGCTCAGTGGGATGGGGGGCAGCTACTCTGTAGTGGGGACCACACTCAGGGCTGCAGGGCCACGAGCCGTGGGGGGCAAGAGCAGGGTAGGAAGGCAGCAGGGGTCAGGTCCACTCTCCACACTCACCAGTAGCAGCTGGAAGCAGAATGACCTGGGCTCAGCCCGCTGTGCTAGCTCCCAGCCACATTGCTTAGAGTAGGAGATTCAACAGAAGCGGTGGGACTGCCCCTTTCCCCCGCATGCACTGGCAGCGGGAAACAGAGTAATGCAACTAGGAGCCAGTGGCGCAGAGCAAGCTCGGGATGAGTCACTCCACTTCCCACTACTGCCAGTGAACATGGGGGCAGGCCTAACCACTTCTGCCAGCGCCAAGCATTCCCAGATGAGAGGGGACATGGGGGAAGAAGTGGAGTGAGACGAGGCAGGGACAGAGCAAGGGCAAGAAGAGGTCAGTTGGGTCAAAGCAGGGGTGGAGGGGGGAGGTTTGTCCCAGGCTCTGAAACCTTTAGGGGCAGCCCTACTGGGCACAGCCGGTGGGGCCCTGACTGGACACTCAACTGAAGTACTCATAAAAACACAAAGTGGCCTATTTCTTTGCAGGGTTTTAATCAAGAGTACTCACGTGAATGCAAGTTATACTGCCACATCACTGGCTAGCAGAGAAAGAAAAGGTGAAGTAAGAGAAGACAGATTCAAGTTGGTTTAAATATTTCATAAAAATCCTTGCCAAGGTTTTGAATAAATGTCACTGTTACTTACTTCTGAAGTTAAAGGTGTATTAGTTTGCAATGCTCCTAGACTTGCTCCTGGGTAATATGGTACCATCAGATATGCCAAAGGATCAGACTTAAAAACAAAAAACAAAAAACACACAAACCCACAAGCCAATAGATGGATAAAGAAAGCAATTCCAGTTAATACATCTACTTACTGTGAAATTAACTTTATTACACATTTAGTGAATATTAAGTCCTCATTAAACCAAATCAGTTTGATTGTTTACATCAGTTCTGCATGAAAGCTTTTTTTATCCAAACTTTATTTAAACAATAAGTTGAACAAAATTCTGAATGTTTTCAGATAAAAACTAGCATTCAAAAAGGATGTCAATCTGGAGTTTACCTTGCACAAAAAAAGGAACATCAATTGTAATAATCCAGATTTCTCCTTCAATTCACTCCATGCTCTGTGATATTTGGCTGCTCTTTCTATCACTTTTGACTCTGTGTTTACATCTACCGAATAGCCCTGAAATCAAAATTTTCAGATGATTAAAGCTGTTAAATGTGGAATTATAACATTGTACTTTAAGAACAATGACATAAATTCTATTGCATGACTTCCTGTTGCACTGTATTATAATTCTCAACTTGAGATTTGAGAAATCAGTCCCAAATTTTCTTTAAATTTTCATGAATTGTTGGACGATATAGGCCCAGTGTTCCTATTGTCCAACAAGTATTGTGGGGGGTATGAGTAGGATGGGGACAGAATGTACCAGGAGTAGAGAGTGATAGCCAGAAAGAGAAAGGTGCACTGACTCACAGAAGTGGCAGTCAGCAGAAGAAAGGGACACGCTTGAGTTGTCCACAGAGAAGTAAAAGAGGAGACACACAGAGACAAACAGGGAAAAAACCCACTTCTTTGGTAGCAATCCAAGAGGCTAGCCAGAATTATTACTATTTCAATAGTAACCTTATAAATGCTAAAGAAGCACTTACTGAGTTCAAGCACAACAATCAGCCAATATATGCTGAGCTATCAGGAGCTCCCCACACAACTAAAAATTGAAAGTCTTAGTGATATTAAATTACCTTTAAAAGAACCTTCTGTTCTTGAACTGCTGCACACACTAATGGGTGCTTAGTGCTCAATTCCTTCATGGGTTCAGCATCTAGAAGATCCCGTTCCAAGCTAACTGTCAGAAGTCCCCCAGAGTTCTGGAGCACACACACACACACACCAGAAATGTCACGAACTAACTTAATAATCCAAACACTCATACATTTAAACATTCTTTGCAACCAGGGACAATACATGACACAATAACATAAGCAGGGCTTGACAAACGGTGGCGAAATCTGCTCGCCAGCCCCGCACTGCGCATGCGCAAGACCCGCATTGCGCATGCGCGCACTGATGGTGAACGGGGCGCGACCGGCTGAACAGTGATTTGTCAAGCCCTGAACATAAGGAATGTCAAACATAAGCTTAAACTAATGAGCCTTTTTTAAAATTAAAGAAAATGATTCCACTTGACTGTCATTTCTTCAACAAACAATTTGGACTTATTTTGTCAGTGTCAGATACATTAGCCACTAACCCCCTGTCTACTTCATATACATTAAAAACCTGAGCTCTTGACACACACCAGTTTTTGTTTTCTCCTCCCTTCACTCTGTCCCAGACACAGACAGTGTGAGCATTTCATGCTGGAATTACTGCTGGAACATTAAATCACAACATGATCAGTAAACCTGACTAATTCTGCTGCAGTCTGGATACCATATTTGAATTTATTTTCTAGTGCTGAGGTGGTCTACCCGTTACAGACAAAAAGCCAAAATACTGGTGGATACAGTGCAAAGAGCCGAGGGAAAGAAAACCATGCTGAGCAAAAAAAAACCACGCTGCCCCTTTAAGAGCCGCGTGGGCCCAAGCATATTTCCATCAGCTGTCACATCAGATCTTCTTGTCCCAAGCAGCGCCCTGACCAGACAAGAAAAAAAAAGGTCAGAGGAGGGGAACGCATAAGAGCCGCGGGTTCAGGAGCCAAGCCGGAGGTGCAGGAGCTGCAATTTTTCCTTTTAAGAGCCACATGCAGCTTGCGAACCACGGGTTGGCCGCCCCTGTTCTAGTGACTGACTTGAGTAGGTAACACTACAAGTGCGTGTATGAGAGAAGTCTCTAGGGCATGTGAATAACGAAATCTCTCACATCTTGTTTAAAGCTTTCATGTGACCCACGACAATATGTTCAGTTGTTAAACTTGTAATTGGACTATTACCCTTAAAGACTTCATTACTTACTAGACTCTTTCGCATCTCTTGCTTTATGGGATATTTTACAAAGCCACTTCCCCTGCCCTCAAACACGCAGTTCCAGTTTCCTGCCCTTAGAAACACAGCCGGGGCTTCTTACCATATACTCCAGAATTCCTGCTTCCGGGTGAAGGAGTGGCAGTTCAGGGAACCATTTCTGCACCAGCCAAGTAAGCCTCTCCTAAATTATGGATACATTCATCAATGCCTACCACCCCTGCAAGCAGTACATACAACTAAATACCAGAAAACACATTAACTGACATTTGGGCTGTATGCTCACAAACCACTGATTTCTGAAAATATGAAGAGAATATCTTCCACTTATATCACTCAGAATACACCTGGCTTTCACTTTTTCACAGCATCAATACTGTAACAGCCTAATTGGATATATTTCTAAAAACAGCATTTGTGTGGTAATTTTAGGAACTTCCTGATGCCCTCATTTAAGAAGAGTGGCCATGGATTCTGGACCTCCTTCTTTCACAATGAGTATTTAGGAAGTGAAAGATCTCTGGTGTTTCTCTTGCCTTCAACTTTGAGGACATGTCTACAGTTGTCATTTAAAGCCAAAAAATCCCTTTTTTGAGTAAAACCCATAGGAGCATCTACACTTGTCAGTGACTTTTTGGAGAGAGACTCAGAAGGTTAACTGTAAAAAGAAAGCCACCTTCATGAGACATATACAGCTCTTACCGGTGATGCTTTTGCAGTGATGTGCAGGTGAAGACACATTCCATTTCTTTACTCTGCTATCTCATAGTGCCTACACAATCACTACTTTCAGCCAGTACCTCTGCTGCTCTGACACCAGGTGAACAGAGGTCCACTTCTTCTCTGTAAAGCTCTGAGGACTTTGAAACTCCCCTTCCTATTTTCTTGCCAAGTGCTCACTTACCATCTGGCTAGGTGACAATATCTGCTCCATGAAGCAAATGATCCCCTGCTTGTAGCAATTCTGAGCTACTGTTTGGGGGAAAGGCAGCTATGCAAGGACCCAAGATCAGTGTTCCACCCCGCCCCTCCCCACAATCTCCATGGCCAAGCCTCACCCCCAGGTGAGGAAAGGGGGAATCAGACCCAGCCTTGTTCAGATGGCCAGAACATAGGGGAAGGAGGCTGGGGCAGTGCACTTCCCTGCCTTACCTAGGTTGGCCAGAATCAGCCCCAGGGCGAACCACGAAGGACTGTGGGGGAGAGAATGTTCGCACCCCCCTGCATATGTACTGGGCTATCTAATCATCTTCCTGCAGCTCTGTTGAGAGGACTGAGGCTCGTACTTCCAGATTTTCCTCTACCATTCATTTTGAAAACACTGTATCAGGTGATAAAGAATAAAACTGATCATCTCCCTCCACCTTGGAGAGCACTATTTTATTTCAGAGGCTTTACAGAATATGAGCATAGTCTTTCCTTTCAGTACTGTAACATTCATTCTTTAGATTTTACTGAGAATGAATGTATATAATAAAACAACTGAAATGTAAAATGTGGTTCATACAAGTACATAGTTTAAGCTGCTTACATAATTGATACTTACATATTCTTCTTGTTCCTTGTATATTTCCTGAATGAGATTATTTCTCAGTCCAGTGATTTCTTCTCTTATTTTTGTTATTTCATGCTCATTGTAATCATCAGACTGTGTGCAGAAACACCACAATTACCATCATATAAGCCTCTCAAGATAGCATACTATATAGTGTCACCTAGTACATAAGACCTAAAAAGCAGCTTCCAAATCACATTATAATTTGAGGGTGACTCTCAAAAGTATTGTAGTATGAGGGAAAAGTCACTAACACCATCAAACCTCTTTTTGGTTTTCTAAATGATCTATTTGCTGTTTGTTTTTTAATATGTTTCCTTTTTGGAAATCCTCTTGGCACCAGTAAAAATCTGAATTTTAAAAAGGGCATTCGGTTCACTTAAAGAGGCAGCCTAAAATATTGTCACAAGAAAGTTAGGGGTCACCTTATCCTGGTGACTTACTGGATAAGACACTTCACCAGATTTAGATATCATCTGAAGATTCCTGGCCATTGCTAAATTGTAGAAATATATTTCACAGAACCTGGACAAGAAAAAGGTATTGGAAATCAGAGTGGAGGGTGTGTTCACTTTAGTAGTGCTCACAGGAGAGCTCTGAAAAGGAGGAGAAGGGAACTTTTTTTTCCCCATATAACTTTTTAAAACCCATTCTCTATCAGATACATCAAGTTGCAACTCTCAAAAGCTCATGCCATATTAAAACTGTTAGTTTTTAAGGTGCCACCAGACTCTTGATGTTTTGGTTGAAACAGACTAACACAGTTATGTCTGAAGCCAGGGTAGACACATTGTCCTAAAAAGAAGTATGAGGGACACAAACACATTCAAAGTTTTCTGTATATGGAAAGTAAACCATGAATATGGATGCAAATATGCAAATCAACATTTGTGTATATATGAAACTAAACATACACTTATCAAGCTAGGTGGCACCTGCTGAATAGGAATGCAAATACATGTCTACCAGGCAACTGGAGATTAGGCCCTGTATATTGGAATAGGAATATTTTAAATAGAGCTCAGGAAAGATGCAAATGTCATTTCACAGAGGAATCAGATTTCAAAATCAGTTTGAGATGTGATTTGGAACAAAGCTTTAAAGTTTCGAAATTCTGTGTGTCAGAAAATTCTGAACAACTGTTTCAGATCAACATTCATATTGACTTTCTGAATTTATTAAAATATATAATATAAAAAATGAGCAACAAAAGCCCTTTCAAAAAGAAAAATGAAAATATTTAACTCAGGAAATGTAGAAACAGAGTATTCTGACAACGTAGAAAAGAAAAATTTCAAGCAGCAAAATTTCAATGAAATCTACACGACTTCAAGAAATCTTTTGGTTTTAACTAACCTGTATTTTCTAACCAACTATAAATTTAAATCAGTTTGGTCTCCTCACTCATTTTCCCAAAACTTGTTAGCGCCTCTTCCGCACTGTTAGATGATCTGCCCTGTCCTTGGCATCCTAACAGTGAGAACACATGTCCATTCCCTAATCATCCCATGTCAACTGTTACCACTACCTCTTCCCCTCTGATCTCCAAGCCTTACACACAGCACTGCCCAGTCCACCCAAAACTGGCTAGCTAACAGTATCCTCCTATTCCAATTAAACTATATTAGCATTTGAATTTTTGCATTAGCCTATGCAGCAAATCATCTGGAAACTTAAGTTACCGGATTATTTCGTTTCTTATACTGACTTCTCTCTCCCCGCTCATTCAAAAAAAAAAAATACAAACTAGGCATCTCTTCCTGAAAATAACTGAGGCCATAGAAAGTAAGACTTATCCATGAGGTGTTAGTACCTGAACAAACCTCTTCTGCCCTCTCTCTAGATGAGGCAGGTAAGATCTTTTACTGAACCAAGGGATGTAAAACCTGGTTTAATTGGTTAACCACTTAAACATTATGTTTAACCAGTTAATCAATCAAAGGGGGGCTGGGTGGGGAGCAGGGTCACTCCAGCCCCACTGGACTGGAGCGACCCATCCGCCTGCTGAAGCTGGGCTGGATCACCCCACTGCCACTGGAGGTAAGGGCTACTCCAGCCCAGCCAGAGCAGCCCCTGCCTGCAGGGCACCTGGGCTTCCCGCAGACAGAGGCTGTGCCACTGGTAGCAGGCAGGGAGCTGGTTAACTGTTAGCTGGAACTGGTAAGCATCACTCATTAAGCGTGACGCTTACTGGTTAAGCAGTTAATCTCTCATATCCCTAACTGGACCAGTGTCAGAGAGAAAAGTTTTCAAGCTACACAGAACACTTCCTCTGAGATTTAAGGAAGAACTCTGTGTAACTTAACAGAGAAGTAGCCGTGTTAGTCTGATCTTGGTAAAATAGAAAAAACAGTCATGTAGCACTTTACAGACTATCAAGATGGTTTATTAGGTGATAAGCTTTGGTGGGGCAGACCCACTTCTTCAGATCATATTCTGGTCTGCCCTACGAAAGCTTATCACCTAATAAACCATCTTGTTAGTTTTTTAAAAGTGCCACATGACTGCTTTTTCTGTGTAACTTGAAAGCTTGTCTCTCACCAACAGACAACTATCCAATAAGAGACACCACCTCACCTATCCCGATCTCCAATATCCTGGGACAAACATGACTACAATACTGCATACTCTCTCCGAATCAGTATATTCCAATGTTGAATGGAAATACTATTCCTATGGCAGATTAAATATGAATTTAAATAGTAAAGCCTTATTTCATGATATTATTGACATGCGTGGAAGAGACCATCCATCACAAAATATACTTTTGGAAGATTTATCTTGAGTGGGATAGATCTGGGGGGAGAAGAAAATAATAGAAAAGTAATACATGTCCTTTCTGGACCTTATCTTTCCTTTCAGACCAAGACATGTGGGATATAGCAAGCTGTAAGGAAAAATTAGAAGGATAGAGAAATGAGATTAGCTACAGCATCAGTTTCTAGTGATCTTTGACTACCTTTCTCAACTGACAACTCTCATACTTGTGCTTGGACTGATACACAGGGGGTGATACTTAAATGTCATATGGAAAACTTCTGGGTTCAATGACCACTTAAATGGTAAAGCTGTTAACTACAGTAGTTGTGAGCTTGTGTGTTCAGCATCACTATTACGTGAATATCTATAATGATGACATTCTGCTCAGAAAAGTCTTTGTATTCTTTCACTGTATAGATTTGACCTGCTTGTGTTCCCTTGCCATTTTATGTCTGTCAGGCACTGAGTTGTCTAACTGAGGCAATATAAGTTCCTCCATCGTACTCTCCTGGAAGTCTCAAAGAGCTGGCACCCCCCTTTTCTCTTGGAATTAGTTTATCTGGAACCTTTCTGACCTTGATGACATTCCTGTGCTTTGTGGTGTCTCAGGCTACCTATAGCATCACTATCCATGGTGACAATTTGGGATTCTGGATTGTGTAGGAAGGATGCTACCAACACATGGACTTGCTCTCTCTACCAGCTTAGGGACCTGATTTTTATGTGGTATCCTCACTTTCCTTTTCCTCTTCTCTTGAAAACTGTTACAGGCTCTTAATATTAATCCTTTATCCTTTCTAGTGTCACTTTACCAATGAAATAACCTTTAGCACAAAGACTGTAAAACCTAGGAGCCAAAGGCAAGGATGAATGCACAAGGTACTCCTCAACACCGTGGATAGCAATGCTCAAATCTTGTCAAACCTTTCCTATGCGGTGAGCTAATGTGACACCAATATCTAAAAAGGGCTCTAGAGGTGATCTTGGCAACTTCAGACCAGTAAGTCTGATGTCAGTACCGGGCAAATTAGTTGAAACTAACTGAACTAGTCAAAACTAAGAATAAAACTGTAATACACATAGATAGAAATAATTTGTTGGGGAAAAGTCAACATGGTTTCTGTAAAAAGAAATCACGCTTTATAAATTTACCAGAGTTCTTTGAGGGGCTCAACAAACATGTGGACAAGGGGGATCCAGTAGATATTGTGTAGTTAGATTTCCAGAAAGCCTTTGACAAGGTCCCTCACCAAAGGCTCTTATAAGTAAAGTAAGTTGTCATGGGATAAGAGGGAAGGTCCTCTCATGGTTTGATAACTGGTTAAGAGACAGGAAACAAAGGGTAGGGAAAATGGTAAGTTTTCAGACCGGAGAGAGGCAACTAGTGGTGTCCCCCAGGATGCATACTGGGATCAATCCTATTCAACCTATTTATAAATGATGTGCAGAAAGAGGTAAACAGCGAGGTGGCAACATTTACAGATTATACTAAACTGCTCAAGATAGTTAAGACTAAAGCAGACTGAGAAGAACTTCAAAAAGGTCGCATCAAACTAAGTGATTGGGCAACAAAATGGCAAATGAAATGTAATGTTGATAAATGCACATTGGAAAAAATAATCCCATCTATACATATAATATGATGGGGGCCTAATTGTGCTATAACTACTTGCAAAAGACATCTTGAGAGTCATTGTGAACAGTTCTCTGACAGCATCTACTCAATGTGCAGCAGCAGTCAAAAAAGAAAACAGAATGTTAGGAATCATTAAAAAAGGATAGGGAATAAGACAAAACGCCTTATTGCCTCTATATAAAACCATGCTACACCCATATATTGAATACAGCGTACAGATATTGTTTCTTCATCTAAAGAAAGATATATTGGCATTGGAAAAGGTTCAGAAAAGGGCAACAAAAATTATTAGGGGTTTGAAATGGGTCCCATATGAAGAGAAATTAAAAAGACTGGAACCTTTCAGCTTAGAAAACAGGAGACTAAGGGGAGGGGAGGAATATGATAGAGGTCTATAAAATCGTGACTGGTATGGAAAACGTGAATAAGGAAAAGTTATTTACTTGTTTCTCATAACATAAGAACTAGGGGATCACCAAATGAAATTAATAGGTAGCAGGTTTAAAACAATCAAAAGGAAGTTTTTCTTCACACAGTGCATAGTTAACCTGTGGAACTCCTTGCCAGAGGATGCTGTGAAGACCAGGACTTTAACAGAGTTAAAAAAGAACGAGATAAATTCATGGAGGTTAGGTCCATCAATGGCTATTAGTGAAGATATCCCTAGCCTCTGTTTGTCAGAAGCTGGAAACAGATG